TTACTATATCAAATTCCACCACAAACGCATATTATGTACTTACGTTATTTTTATTTTGTTTGTGTTTTTTATACAAATTAAATTTTAGAAAAGAATTTCATTTTGAATTTACCTGTTAATTTACCAAACTCGTCTAAAATCTCCTCTTTGCCTTTCGACTTGGGTATGTTGCCTACAAATAGGCGCAGGTTCGGTACGCTAATGTTAATTTTTAGACACTTGCCAGGTTTTATTTCGTGATTATCGAGCTGTAGATGGGGAATATGTATACAAATATTTATATGTGTGTTTTTAAGCGTTTGTTGTTGTCATTGTAGTTGTTTTTTATTTGTAGTAGTTGTAGTAAATGTAAATGTAATGCGGTTGTAGTTGGTAGGATTTCAATAATAATAACAAACAAGATACGATAAAATAAATAAATAATTATTTAATTAAAAAATGGTAAAAAACAATAAAAAATTATAACAAAAATACTGAGCAGAAATGGTAATACAATAAATTCGTAATGTATCTAATAATAAAACGAAAAAATAATAAATTTCAAATAATGCAAATGGATTAGAGAAATGTCATGAAGTTAAGTCTTTTTAGATGTGGGGGTAGTAACGATAGGGTTGCCAATAGAAATGAAAAGTAATTTATACGGAAAAATGGAAATACAATTTGCGGAAAGAAAAAATGTGGATAACAAAAGGTTTGATAAGAGAAATGAAAATGCAATTTTTTGAAAAAAGTTGGTTAGGGTTGCCAAGAGAAATGAAAATTATTTTTTTTTAAAGTTGGATAAGGTTGTTAAGAGAAATGAAAATGAAATTAAAAAAAAAAAAATTGGATAGGGTTGCCAATGAAAAAAAATTCAATTTATTAAGAAAGAATCGTGTATGTGTATGATAAGGATGGCAAGAGTAAATAAAATGATTTTTTTTTTCTTAAAAGGTTGAAAAATCGTAAATATACTACATAATTTATTTTTTCATAACGGTAATTTCGGGATATTTGGGAAAAATGTATGTGTGTGTTTTGTAAAGTGCTGAACGTACACAATTACCAGTTCTGTTCGATTTGTATAGCTGAAGAATTTTCAAGTTAGGGTGATTTGTTGATGAGAACAGTGCCGAAAAAAGTTGTAGACGAATAATATTTTGGCCGAAATCACTTAATTTAACTCTTTTAATTTAATTTAACTTGCGGAAGGCAACTTTTCGTTTCGTTTCCAAAGAGAGCATAATTTTGCATTAGTCGATAGTTTGGGAAATTGTGAGGATAAGATAAACAAAGGGACATTAATAATACGTATTCATTATAAGTTGTTACTTTAGTAGAGGACATGCTCGCAATTGAAAAAAATAAAACCAGACAAATTTTAATTTTTAACTAATTTACGAACGGTATTTTAAAAAGTTTAATTAAATTCTTAATCAATTACCATTTTCGTAGCAATTTGAAGAGGCGGAAGTTGTAAATTAAGCACAGCAATATTACTATTCTAATAGTATGTATGTTTGTATGTACGCAAGGAACTACTTATGTTTTAAGAGCAAGCTCAAGAAATATATTCAAATAAAATGGAAGAGATGCAAGAGGCAGCAACGTTGTTGATAGGGTACGCAGTTGTTGCAAAGAGGAGAAATCGTTACTACAAAATTTTCGAAGCATATTTTTGGTATTTTTGTGGTTTTGGTTTTGGTTTTGGTTTTTATTTTTGAATTTTGAATTTATTTCACTTTTAATTTTGAATTTCGTCGCATGTTTCACTTTCGCTTTTTTGTTATGTTTTCGCCAGTTGTTGCAGTCGAAACTTGTGTTATGCCCCAAAATACTGCTAATTAATTAATAATTATTTATTTGCATAATTATCACAGTAAACGCAAATTTTACGAAATAATTGTAAAAATTATAATTATGAAATTAAAAAGTGTGTATTTATAAAACTACATTAGGGTTAAAAAAGTGGGTTCAGTAGGGAACAGGCAACTAAACTACTTAAACGGAGGCGGCGAAAAGGTTTTGGTTTTGCAGCATTCGAGACTTCTTTTCAAATCGTTTTGTTTTTTGGTTGTTTTAGTTGAAAGAGTTTGTTTAATGAACTTTTGTTTCATATTTTAACTAAAAATATAACTTTGTTTTTTGCTGATCAGCGGTTCTTTGTAGATAGGAGACTTTTGATGCGTCACTAAATTTTTGTTTGCAACCAATTCACAATATTTGCACGCCTTAATTCTCAAAACAAAATCAATTTACGAAACGTGGCAGTTGATTTCAGGTATTTTTGTTGTTGTTGTTGTTTTTTAATAAATAAGAAACAGCATGCAAATGCAAGTAAAAAAACTACTACTTGGTATTGTAGATTTGAGAGAACAAAGATTCCAGTAATAAAGTACAACTTAAAAGTACAGTAAAGTACAGAGAGAGAGAACGCGAAAGCAGCTACAAAAATAGTACATACTTAAAGTTTACATAGTACGAGTCAAATAGCTTAGAATATATATGTATAATGTATATAACGGTATAGTAAAAAAATAGAACTTTTACGTATAAATAATTAATGCAGCCTGAGTCGCTAGCGTGGACTCAATCGCATGAAAAATAATTAATCGTTCAAATTCAGTGTGGCCGGAAGTTAGGTACATAGTGTACCTTTCAGCATTCGTTTTTTGTTTATGTTTTTTGTTTTTTTTTTTTTTGACAATTTTGTTTGCGCATTTTTTGTCACGGGAATTTCGAAGCATAATTTTGTTTGGTCTCGATCTAAAGAAATGTATTTTGTGCCTAAAATTATACTATTGAAAAGAAATTATAGTTGAATCGTTTAAAGCGTTTTCTTTCTGGTTTTGTTTTTCATATATAAATATGTATATAAAATACAATAAATAAATCAGTAAGTATATATGTACGTATGTATAAATAGTAAATATACTGCTTGCTAAATATATAAGCTTTTTTGTAAACGCAACAACTCTTATGAAAGCGTTTGCCAACAAAATAATCTGCATATATTTCTGAAGTAAGTGTTTAATTTGGAATTATTGTAAGGAGACGAATAAATTTCAAACTACCTGTCGTACGGCATTTGAAGCCGCTTCACGCGTCGTGAAGGTAACAAATGCATATCCACGATTTGTACCCGTCATCGGATCCATCATAAGTCTAAGGTCCCATATTGTACCGCATTCCTCAAATAATGGTATAATTTCATCCTCAAACATATCTTTTGGAATTTTCCCGCAGAAAACTTCGCAGCCATTACCGGGTGTTGGACCATCCCAATTAGGTGGTGGTCCGCCATATTTGCGTTGACCTGCAGCGAGTAGAAAACACAGAAAATAAAATCAGTTTACAACAATAACGAAGTAAAATATATAATTACCAGTGGTCACATCTAAGGAGTAGCCAGTTCTTTCGAGTATTTTCTTGATTTTCTCCTCATCCGGTCCCTTGACTTGAACTGTGGTCGCTGGCGTTGGTACTCCCTGTTGGCTGGCGCGGCTTTTTTGTCTATAGGTTTTCATAACACCACATAAATACGCAGACTTATTCGATACATGTTCCAAATTTGATTCGAGGAACTGACTCAATACATTCAAGGCACCATCAACCGGAAACTCTTTGAGCGCATCCAGCGCGCGTTCGTCCAATTCCACATGCGCTAATTTACCTGTTTTGTAAATATCATCTAGTTTGCCGGCAACCTAGCAAGTGAGGAAAAAACGCAGGAAAATATTACAGTGATGTTAGCCATTAATTAAAAAAAAATTATGCAAAAAAAAATAATTATTCCTTATTCAGGAGCCGTGACCATTTAGTTTTAAAAAAATTTCCCGGGCTAAAGAAATAATATATATTATTTTTTTTTTATTATTTTTAAAAAATAATAATTTTTCCTCTATTTATTGTTTTCTTTTTTTGTATACATATATTGCCTTAATACACCCTTTATAGTTCAATTCGTTGCCTAAAAGTATGCAAGACTTGTTTTATTTCAAAATTATAATGGTCCTAACGGAGGCCGTTTTCGCAAATTCATCGTAAATTTTGTAATGCATATAATAATAACTCAAGAACGGCTGAACCGATTTGATCGATGAGTGCTTGATATCTTCGACAACAACGCAATAAAGATATGATGCTAGACCCTAATTACATGTGAGCGGATATTAGACGCGGGATTAGATCTAGTAATATACTCCTTTTCGACTTTTCTTTCCTCATTTATTATTATTTTTACACTTTTGTAATCTGCTGTACTCACTTTTTTATCTAAGCCATATTCCAAGAGTTTTGGATAATCTTCCGTTCTTTCACCATCGCCGCGATCTTCTGATTTTTGATTGATGTCATCTACCAGTTCGCCATTGCCTTCCGCCATTTCTATAAAGATAACAAAAATAACATTGAAAATATTTATTCATAAAATTTAAATACAAAATATTTAAAAATAAAATACT